TAATATGCTCTTAAACAACACTGAAGAAATCAAAGAGGAAGTTAAAAAAAAATAGCTAGAGACAAATGAAAATGAAAACATGATGATCCAAAACCTATGGGACACAGCAAAAGCAGTTCGAAGAGGGAAGTTTATAGCAATACAAGCTTACCTTAGGAAACAAGAAAAATCTCAAATAAACCACCTAAACTTACACCTAAAGCAACTAGAGAAAGAAGAACAAACAAAATCCAAAGTTAGTAGAAGTAAAGGAATCATTAAGATCAGAGCAGAAATAAATGAAATAGAGACTAAGAGAGCAATAGAAAACATCGATAAAACTATTAACAAAAGCTGGTTCCTAGAAAATATAAAAACAATTGATAAACCTTTAGCCAGACTCATCAAGAAAAAAAGGAAAAGGGCCCAAATCAATAAATTAGAAACGAGAGACTACTCCAAGCAACTATATACCAATAAAATGGACAACCTAGAAGAAATGGACAAATTCTTAGAAAGGTACAATCTACCAAGACTGAACCAGAAGAAATAGAAAATATGAACAGACTGATCACAAGTACTGAAATAGAATCTGTGATTTTAAAACTCCCAGAAAACAAAAGTCTAGGACCAGATAGCTTCACAGGCAAATTCTACCAAACATTTAGAGAGGAGATAATACCTACGCTTCTGAAACTATTCCCAAAATTGCAGAGGAAGGAACACTTCCAAGCTCATTCTATGAAGCCATCATCACCCTGATACCAAGAACAGACAAAGGTATCACAAAAAAAGAAAATCAGGCCAATATCATTGATAAACATAGATGCAAAATCCTCAACAAAATACTAGCAAACTGAATCCAACAATACATTAAATGATCAAGTGGGATTTATCCCAGGGATGCAAGGATTTTTCAATATCCACAAATCAATCAGTGTGATACACCACATTAACAATTTGAAGAATAAAAACCACATGATCGATAGATGCCGAAAAAGCTTTTGACAACATTTAACATGCACTAGTGATTAAAAACTCTGTAGAAAGTGGGCATAGAGGGAACACACCTCAACATAATAAAGGCCATATATGACAAACCCACAGCTAACATCATACTCAACAGTGAAAAGCTGAAGACATTTCCTCTAAAATCAGGAACAAGACAAGGGTGCTCAATCTCACCTCTTACATTCAATATAGTCTAGGAAGTCCTAGTCACAGCATTCAGAGAAGAAAAAGATATAAAAGGAATCTAAATTGGACAGGAAGAAGTAAAAGTGTCACTGTTTGCAGATGACAGGATACTATACATAGAAAATCCTGAAGACACTACCAGAAAACTACTAGAGCTCATCAATGAATTCGGTAAAGTTGCAGAATACAAAATTTATACACAGAAATCTGTTGCATTTCTATACACTAACAACAAAAGATCAGAAAGAGAAATTAAGTAAACAATCCCATTTACCACTGCATCAAAAAGAATAAAATACCTAGGAATAAACCTACCTAAGGGGGCTAAATACCTGTACTCCAAAAACTATAAGACACTAATGAAAGAAACTGAAGAAGACACAAACAGATGGAAAGATATATATATATATATATATATATATACTGGTTTCTTATGCTAGAAAAATTAATATTGTTAATATAATCATACTACTCAAGGCAATCTACAGATTCAGTGCAATCCCCATCAAATTACCAATGGCATTTTTCACAGAACTAGAACAAAAAAATTTTTAATTTGTATGGAAACACAAAAGACCCCGAATAGCCAAAGCAATTTTGAGAAAGAAAAACGAAGCTGGAGGAATCAGGCTCCCTGACTTCAGTTTATACTACAAAGCTACATTCATCAAAACAGTATGGTGCTGGCACAGAAACAGAAATATAGATCAGTGGAACAGTATAGAAAGCCGAGAGATAAACCCATGCACCTATGGTCACCTAATCTATGACAAAGGAGGCAAGAATATACAATGGAGAAGAGACAGCCTCTTCAATAAGTGGTGCTGGGAAAACTGGACAGCTACATGTAAAAGAATGAAATTAGAACATTTCTCTAACATCATATACAAAAATAAATTCAAAATGGATTAAAGACCTAAACATAAGACTGGATACTATAAAACTTCTACAGGAAAACATGGGCAGAACACTCTTTGACATAAATCACAGCAAGATCTTTTTTGACCCACCTCCTAGAGAAATGGAAATAAAAACAAAAATAAACAAATGGGACCTAATTAAACTTAAAAGCTTTTGCACAGCAAAGGAAACCTTAAACAAAACAAAAAGACAACCTACAGAATGGGAGAAAATATTTGTAAATGATGAGACTGACAAGGGATTAATTTCCAAAATATACAAACAACTGAATAACAATAAACCAAACAGCCCAATAAAAAAGTGGGCAGAAGATCTAAGTAGACATTTCTCCAAAAAAGACATACAGATGGCCAAAAGGCACATGAAAAGATGGTCAACATCACTAATTATTAGAGAAATGTAAATTAAATCTACAATGAGGTATCACCTCACTCCAGTCAGAATGACCATGATGAAAAAGTCTACAAATAATAAATGCTGGAGAGGGTGTGGAGAAAAGGGAACCCTCTTGCACTGTTGGTGGGAACGTAAATTGATACAGCCACTATGGAGAACAGTATGGAGGTTCTTTAAAAAACTAAAAATAGTTACCATATGATCCTGCAATCCCACTCCTGGGCATATATCCAGACAAAACTATAATTCAAAAAGATACACGCACCCCAATGTTCATTGCAGCACTATTTACAACAGTCAAGACATGGAAGCAACCTAAATGTCCATCGACAGATGAATGGATAAAGAAGATACGGTATATATATCACAGGGAGCTATACTCAATATTTTGTAGTAACCTATAAGGGAAAAGAATCTGAAAATAATATATATTCATATATGTGTATAACTCAATCACTTTGCTGTACACCTGAAACTAACACAACATTGTTAATCAACTATACTTCAATAAAAAAGAGAGAGAGAGAAAGGGGAAAAGCTCAAAAAGAAAATATATTTTGTAATAAATACAGATCTGTTACCAAAATAAATTAATAAAATAACCTTTCAGCATTGAAAAAAAGATATCACTAAAGATATTAAAGCACTTTGATAGTTTAACAGCAAAAAAAAAAGAAACAAGCAACCAAAAAAGGATACGCTGATTATAAGAGATAGAACTATACAAAGACAAAATAAATGAAAAAGGGTAGACAAAGATATTGCATACAAAAACTAATCAAAACACAGATGGTGTAGTTAAATTAATATCAAATAGAGTAAACTTTAAGTTAAGAAACATTAGAAATAGAGACATTTTATAAGGTCATGAAAGGTAAAGAAAGCCTGACACTGTTTAGGATTAAAGAAGATTAAAGAAACATAACAGCTAAATGTAATAACTGATCCTGGATTGAGGAAAAAAAAGTAACTATAAAGGACATAAAAGTCTATCCACCAAGGAGACGGATAACAATTCTAAATCTGTATGCACCCAGTTACACTGCTTAAAAACATATAAAGCAAAAATTGACAGAAATAAAAGGAGAAAAAGATAAATCCACCATCGGAGCAGACTTGACCACACCTCTCTCAGTGGCTGACAGAATAAGCAAACCAAAAAGATGAGTAGGGACACAGGAAGTTTCAGCAATACAACTAATAAACTTGGGCTAATTTATATAGAGAGAACGCTGCTCTCCAAAACAGTGGGATACAAATTCTTTCAAAGTGCTGATGGAAGATTTAATAAAACTGACCATATACTGGATAATAAAGCAATTCTACATATTTCAAAGGACTGAAAACATTCAGAGCATGTTTTCTGACCATAGCAGAATTAAGTTAAAATTCAATCAATAGAAAAGTACAGGATAAGGCTGTAACTTCTTGTAATAAAGAAAACACAGAAGTACCAAAATAAATAAATAAATAAAGATACAGGGACCTGTCAAAAGAACACAGGAAGGGGCTTTAAGGGTCTCCCACTGGCCAAATCTGGGACAATTTAGGAATCAAAACATAGTAATAGTTTATAATCCACTGGATAAAAATAAGAACACAGGAGTCCATAGCGTAGTAAATGAATGAATGAACGGGAAAAAAGAAAAAGTCTACTTTAGAGTGACAACTAATAAAATTAGAAGAAACGATGGAGTTAGAAAATCACCATTTTGTATCCATAATGGTATATAGCTTTATTAACAATCAAAAATTGCCAATTAAAATTAAATTACCATGATCTTAGAGTCTTAAAGGACTAAAAATTATCTTTATTCTCACTTCAAAAGTTAGAAGAGGACTTCCCTGGTGGTGCATTGGTTAAGAATCCACCTGCCGATGCAGGGGACATGGGTCTGATCCTTGGTCCAGGAAGATCCCAAATGCCACGGAGCAACTAAGCCTGTGTGCCACAACTACTGAGCCTGCGCTCTAGAGCCTGCAAGCCACAACTACTGAGCCCACGTGCTGCAACTACTGAAGCCCGCACTCCTAGAGCCCATGCTCTGCAACAAGAGTAGCCACTGCAATAAGAAGCCCGCGCACCGCAACCAAGTGTAGCTCCCACTTGCCACAAATAGAGAAAGCCCGCACGCAGCAACAAAGACCCAACGCAGCCAAAAATAAATAAATAAAATAAAATACACTTTTTTAAAAATTAAAAAAAAAAGTTAGAAAAATTAACAATTATTCAAACTAGCAAAAGAAATGTAGACACATTAAAAATATATATACTTCAACATAACCATGCTGGCACATTAAAAATATATATACTTCAACATAACCATGCTGGCACCTCGACCTTGGACTCCCCAGTTCCCAGAGCTGTGAGATACAAATGTCCATTGTCTATACATACACACATACACACACACACACACACACACACACTTAAACACGGTGAACTGATTTAAAACAAAGTGAGCTCTATTTTCCATTTTCCACTGAAATAGATCTGAAACTCTTACCTGGGCACAACAAATGAAAGCAATGGAAAGTGTCAGTAGGAAGACAGAAGACACAACCACATCCACTGATCGCTGTGGGCCCCGTCTCTGTGGAGTGAGATGCGTAGGTTAGCGTTTTAGGTCACCACCGGAGATGGCAACAGCCCTCACATCATTCACACTCCCAATCTCACTATATTGGTGTGAAAATGAACATTTATAAGACGTTTCTGACACAGGATTTTAATATATTTTGGACATATTTGACTTTAATTAAGCTCTGAGATCCATGCCATTCAAATTAAGGGTGTGATTGATTCACGAACATATTTTCAGCTGGAATATTCCCCCCAAAAGTCAGAAAAAGATGAGACATTCAATTGATCACTCTGCCCTAGGAATTTAAATTTTCTTTTCCCTTTTTAAGGTCTTATTTACTTAGCTCTACCAGCTCTGCAGATAGATCACTCCTAACCTGGTGTCCAGCAAGTCTGTCAGCCACTGATATCTGTCCAGTATATAGAACTACCCTGCCTACTGAGTATCTAGCACCAGAAATTTCAGTGAGCATGTTTTCTGCGTATTATTGCAGATATTCCATGGTTAGTCAGCTAAAACTCACCTTTAGAAAGGAACGCAGTGATAACCATATCTTAATGTTCTCCACCTTTTTAAGTCTGAAATGAGGTATTTCATATTTCCTAGCTTTCCTGGCAGAAGTAATATGGCTGAAGAGTTTTGCAAATAAAAATCTCTAGAGGAGGTTAAAAAAAAAACCAAAACACCACAAAGTGAAACGTACACATGTGTCACTGTGTGTATATTTACATAATTGTAAACAATATTCCCAGCATATAAAAAATATTAAAAGGATCAAGTTCTAATCAGTGGTCACTAAGACAGGCAGTGAAAAAACATTGTTAATAGCTCATTAACCTGTCGCTTGCAAAGCACATTATGTAGTAATATACTTCTTCACAACATGCTACACTCTTGGCATTTTCAAGGAATATACCTTGGAGACCTTTGTGAATCCCCACCTTCACAAACTCAAATGTTTATACAAAATTCTAGCTTACTCCCAAATTACATTTCTATTGAAAACCACATTTTTTGCACGTATCACCAATACATTAAGCCCTCAATCCCAAACTCTTACCAAATTTCAGTAAGTTTATTTCTCACTTGGCCATTTTTCACAGAAACATTTTCACTTTGGTAATTACTACATATGCTACATATACAAAACATCAAGGGCACATTGAGGTGCAGGTGCTAAGCAATCAGCTAGGCTCACTCACTGGCTCAGCCACTTACTCCTGCAAGTAGGCTCAGCAAAATTTCAGATCATTTGTGAATAATCAGTATCACAAGTGTTAAACCCACAAATACCAAAAGTTCACTTATCAAGCCTCCATTGCCCACGTTAACTTCTGGAGAGAGAACAAATCAGGGGAACAAGAGCAACCCAACAGAATACCATATACAAAAGCAGAGGTAAGAAATTTTACTTAATTGTCTACTGACCTGTTTGTATGTTCTCTCCGCCACACACATCATGAAAAAAAACATCCAAGTAAGACACAGTCGTTCAAAAAAATTAATTACAGACAAGATAATAATAGGTGCAACAGGTGGTGCCCCACAAAAGAGAGTCAAGATCTCCTCAGCTGAGATGTACTTTAGCTGGTCAAGACTCTTCTCTCGGAACAGTCGATGTAAAAAAGGGAAAAATGCTAATCCGATGGTGACGACATTTCCCAGCATCTGATAACCTACTCCTTGCTGATACGCATTAACCTGGGAATTAATTTAAAATATCCATCATTACTGCACAGCTAAATGGAGTTGTGAAGCAGTATTTATCAAATACTATTTAGATTATTAAAAACTAAATGCTTTAAATCTAAAAGAAATACAAATAAAAATGGTGTACAGATTTATGACTTTTAGGCTTGAATGGGATAAGGAATATTTGTAGAGTCTACCTGAACAATTGATCATGCTCACAGAGACCTCTGTAACAAATAAAAAAATATACTACCTAGTGAAGACTGACTACAGAATTTAAGATACACATACTTGTGTTTCAAAAGCAGAGTCAACGTTTTGATCATTAAATACATTCTATGAAATAGCTGCTGATCATTAAACAGACTTTTCTACAAATCCAAAAACGTATTAAACCTTACCCTGCTCATGATGATGCCACTTATTTCCAACACAGACATATCCATCTTTTTGCACTCATTCCCTTCCCAGATTATTGCACTAACTCGATCAGAGGCAGGACTTGAGTTCTGAAGCCAGAATAAATGGTTCTGAGAAGAAAAAATAAATATTTCCATCCACTCCTTCTTTATTTCCTCCATTATATTTTTTTCCCTTTGTCTAGCTCCTGGGCCACATTTGCCAGGGTTCAGCCTTGTCATCCTATTCTCCCCCTCACAAAGCTCATCACACCAATTACCACCTCCATGATGCTGGTTTCTGGTTTTTGTGTTTTTTTTTTTCACAAAAACAACTTCTTACCTGGAGAGAGGCTAAGTGTCTCCTATAATGATGGGAGGTAGGATTACATGATCTCCAAGGCTGCTTCCCTACTAAATGTATGGAAGTGAGGATAAGCTTGGTGTATTAATGGGATTATCAAGAAGGAAAGCATTTCTACAGCATCATGACTAGACCAGGGATAGTAGGAAGTCACACGGGAGAGGTACTAACAGGCCTTAACATCACAGGAATGACTGAGAAGGTAAACCTTTCTCTGGTCTAATCAGGACACAGAAAAGCATAGTAAGCTCAGGAGGAAAAGGTCGAGATAGAAACAGCCCCGTATTTTCCTCTGCCGTATCATGTCTTATTCTTCGAGTACCAACTCAAGTCCCATTTCACCAACATGTCCTCTCTGATGGCCACAAGCCTCACTCATGTTACCTTTCTCTGAAATTAAAAACCCTTACAGTCTATATCAGATAAATTTGCATCTAATTATATGCTGCTTTTATTGTGTCCTCTATTTCCCATAAAATCATCTTGCTCCCAAACAAATATGTAAGTTACTAAAAAACAACCATCTGGTGTATTTCTTCTCCTTCTACAATAATGCTTAGCATAATGCTGATGCACATTTATGGATTTATTAATTGATTTAGCCAAAAAAATATTTATTAAGCAGCTACTATGTAACATGTACTCTGGATATAATAAAGAACAAGACAGATGTAGTCCTTGACATCACAGAGCATACAGACTTATGGAGACATGATTAAATAAAGTTACTGTGCAGCATGATAAGAGAAGGAAAGAATGCTTTAGGAGCATATAGAAAAGGCTTCCTAAGGGAGTATCACTCAAGCCAAGACCCGAAAAGTAAAAAAGAGTGAGACGAAGGAATAGGTATTGGAGAAAAGTGTGTTCCAGGCAAATAAACCAGTTTGTGTAAAGATCCAGAAGTACATGAGGAAACTGAAAGAAGTTGAGTTGAGTTAAACTATACCATGCAAGACTGTTATAGGGGCAAATAAAGGAACAGAAAGAAATAATCCAGAATGGAAAAAAAAAAAGCAATTAAAGGATTGTAAGGGGAATAGCATCAGATTTATATTTTAGAAAGATCATTCTGGCTGCAGTGTGGGAAACGAAACGAAGCGGAGCAAGCCTAGAGAAGCTGTTGTAAGGATCCAGGCGAGGGCTGATGGTGGTCTGCACCAAGCAGTGTGGACACAGGTGGGCAGATGTATGTATTATACAGCAGAATCAAGACAATGTGATGACTGATTGGAAACATGGGGGACGGGGTCAAGAACGGCCCCAAGGTTTCTAACTTGGGTGGTTAGTGGTGACATTTAGAAATATGGGGAATAAAAGAAGAATAGGTTAGGTGGGAGAATTGGGAAATGATGAATTCCGTTTAACATACTGAGTTTCATCTTACCTAGTTATTCTTACATATGCCTTAAAATTATCCTATAAATCCCAAAAGTGCAAAGGAGGTGAAAATCATCATGATGCTTTTCATAATTACCAAGGGCTAAGGTAATTTAGATGAGTCTTCAGACTGAATGCAAAGAATATTTAGATACAAACTTTGATAGCAAAATTGGAGGAAAAAGCTTAAAACTTTAATAATAAAATGTATGTTGTTTCTAGTTAGTTTTTGAAAACTGTATACATTTAATGAAGCAGAATTTTTTTCATTAAAATGTGTAACCTAAATCAATGGTATCTTAGAATCAAGAAAATTCAATAATTAAACAAATGAATATCCATCACCCACTATTTATTAAGTCATTGTGGAAATATTTAGCCTAAAGCAAAATAAAACTAAGAAGAATCATGATCGTTGGCATTAAACATATGAAAGGCTGATATGAGAACCGTTTCTTCTTTTTTCTTTTTCTTTTTCTTTTTTTTTGCGGTACGCAGGCCTCTCACTGTTGTGGCCTCTCCCATTGCGGAGCACAGGCTCCAGACGCGCAGGCTCAGCAGCCGTGGCTCACGGGCCCAGCCGCTCCGCGGTATGTGGGATCTTCCTGGACTGGGGCACGAACCCATGTCCCCTGCATCGGCAGGTGGACTCTCAACCACTGCACCACCAGGGAAGCCCGGAACCGTTTCTTAATCATTTAATCTATCCAGCAGTGGAAAAAGCTCATGAAATAACAATCACTCCAGCTCCACAAGTATTTAAGCAGAGACTAACTGATTGTCTGATGTGGATAGCAATAACCATGCTAACATGTATTGGGTGCTTACTCTTTGCCAAGCATTGTGCTAAGCCCTTTGTATTATCTCATTAGATATATCACAATATTTCTAAGAAGTAGGAACTTCTTAGAAATATTGTTATTGTATTGTAACAATACTTCTTATTGTTACAAGTATTGTAACAATACTTCTTGTTGTTACTACATGATAGGTAGTAAAAAAATTTCTGCAGATGTAGAATGAATTCCTATATTGATTGTAAAGTTGAAATAACCTTCTAAAAAATCCCCATTTCCAGGTTATCTGATTTTATGATATTAACAGAAAACCTAAAATTAAAAGCATCACTTGCTTTATACATTATTAGAGAAGTAAGCAATGCCATCTCCTAGTAATTCATATATAATACTGTTATGTCTATGAAAATATAGTATCAGGTTACTGCACCAAACAATGTACCCTGCTCATATAAAATGAACATTAAGGATCATTCTAAGGAAAATAATGAGAAAAAGTCCTAGGAAGAAACATTTAGGTTAGGGGAATTCAAGAGTGCTTCCCCCTGAGTTCTAATTCCAATATCTTCACCTACAAACTATGCTCAATTTCCTCATCTCTAAATCAGGGATAATAATAGTGTCCACCTTACAGGGTTATTGTAGAGTTAAATGAGATAATACAGTGCCTGGCACATGGTAAGTACACAGTAAACATCAGCTATTATTATCATCACCTTTACAGACCTGCTGAAAAACATCCTCCTTGGGGTCACGTTTGGTCCCTGAGTGAAGGGAGTTAACGTGGGCCCCCTCACTATCGCTGGTGACAGACGACCGGCACTCAGGGCCGTGCAGCAGGTCATCCCATAACATATCCTCTGTCTCCGAGTCATGACGGGTGCTCTCCGAGTCTCTTCTCAACATGTTGAGGCTTCGAGAGCCACCACTCATGCCAGATCTACAGCCCTTTAAGGGAAAACAAAAACAAATTTCTTTTATATTTCTTTTTAAAAACAACTATATAAAATTTCTGTTGTTTAAGCTACCCAGCCTGTGGTATTCTGTTATGGCAACCTGAGTGGATAAACCCATCTATCTACAAGGATTTTTCTGAATTGCTTTTAATAATGAAAAACTGGAAACAAATTAAGTAGTCATAATTTTACACATTTTAATAAATTCCTTCATAAACTGGAATATTCTGCAGATGTTCAACAGAATGAAGTATTGTCTCATGTATTGATAAGGCAAGCCCTACAAAATAAAAAAAAAAAACTCAGAACAAATTTTCCTATTTATGTTTTTTAAATGATATGTTATATGTTTAAATATATAAGTATGCTCTCTTACTCAAAGGAAAATAAATATGTGGAACTATAACCACCCTCTGGACAGCATGGATTCAATCTGGGGATGTGGGCAACAGTGAGGGATTCATTATACTGGGAAGGGAGGCAGTAAGTGGAAATGGTTGCTTTTTATTAAATATACTTCTTCATTTGAATTTTTATAACATCCTTACATTAATTTTACAACTACAAAATCTGTAAAGCCTTAAAATTTTTTTAAAAATGAAGTGACAGTTTTTGGGTCATGAAATTAATTTTTTTTTTTTTAGTTTTTTTCATTGTGATTTCTGTGTTTTAGATGAATATGTTCTTATTTTAACAGTTTTTGAAATACAGCGTTCTCAAATATGTGTGCGTAAGTTTATAGGTTGATAAATTTTTCACAAATGAAACATGTCTGTGTAACCAGCACCAAAACCAATGAACAAAGCATTACTAGCTCTCCTGCCCCTATTTCTGTGCTATTCTCTTTCAAGGAAAACAACCATTATGACTACTAAGAGCATAGATTAACTTCAATTTTGTACTTTGTTAGAGGTGAAATCTGAAAATAGCTATTTTTTATGTTTGACTACTTTTACAACATTATATATCTGAAATTCATCCATATTGTTGCAGTAAAAGGTATTTTATAATAAAATATTTACCTGTATTTCAAAAACAAAACAACTATATATCTGAAATAAAATGAAAACAAGTTACCTATGGTGATGGCTGGCAAGCTTTCACACACCGATCACTATGCTGACAAGGATTCACATAACAATAATACATTTTCATGGTTAAATGTGAAACTCTGACGACTCTCTAACAGACTATCAAAGAGCACTCCCTCTGAGAAGTTATTGCCAAGTCATGGGGTTGTTCAAGTGAGGCGCCCTGGGATGGGGTGACTCCTGCAAGCACATCGAGAGGGCCCACTCTGGGTGCAGGTGTGGCTGGGCCTACTGACAAAGCCAAGTGTCCTCTACTCTAAATGTTGTGAGCTTGACTGTAGACCTAGTCACGTCCGGGGCCCAGCCAAACAGGGAAAAGGGTAATCAGGCTGGGAAAAGGATGGACATTGCAGCTCTCCTGCGGTACAAACATAGATATGAAAGTTTTTCCACAACCCCAGCTGCCTTGTCAATCAAAACAAAAGCTACCACCATCTACTCTCCTCACCTCTGAATTACAATGTCCCAAATGTACAATATTCCCATTAGCTTTCATGATGAGATCTACTGCTCCCATCTCTCAGGGGTCCTTTCTCAAATATCTGTCCCCATCAGCATCAATGCCACTTACAAAGGAACAATGCTTAAGAATAAACCGCACATTCCAAGTGAATATCAAGTAGCCTTCTCATCATCTAGGGGTTGAGGAGTCTCTCTCTGGGCATCATCTATGATACTTTTCAGATTAGATCAAAGACAAAGAGCTCGTTCTCTTTCTGGGGGTGAGCAGTCATACAAAAGCTTCTAGATAGGTAGACACATAGTTGGGGGCAGGGGAGGGGCAGGCAAATATACACACAACTTTAGGACAACCAATAAACCAAGGAATGGGTACAGTTATTACACTCAAGAATACGCCTTGAAAAAGGATACGTTACCTGACTGAAGGCTGCCGATTCAAACTCTGATTCAGCCAGACTATCTGAATCCCGCACAACGGGACACCACTTGGAAGTGGTCTTCTTTACCTGCCAACAAACGATAGGAAAACGTGTTAAACACCCTGTGACTTGGGAGTTAATGCCTATGCTTTTATAAGCTAAAATAAAAACTACCTGAGTGTTTAGGTGCCTTGAAAGTATTGATTTCCTATTCTTAACTTCACAGCCGTTGTCACTTGAGGCCCCTTCCACGCTCCTCCGCAGCGTCATCATCTGTGTCCGGGCTTCACCATCATCCTCACTTGACAGATCATCTGAAATCCCATTGCCCAAACGCCCAAACGGCTCCTATAAAGAGAACAGCAGTTTCCTCACAGGGGACAGCCCAAAATACTCCAGTTAGCCTATGTATAAAAACTAAGAAGCAGTAAAAGTAAACTAAACCAAAACTGAACAAACCTACCGATTAGTTGGTCTCAATAAAGAAAAATATTAAACTTTCTTGAAACTAAATAGCTTAAATGATGAGGCAGTATTATGTAGAGGTTAGAAGCACAGGCTTGAGTCAAACTCAAGTCTGAATCACAGCTCTTCTACTTATTAGCTATGTAACTGTAGGTAGGTAATTAAATCTCTCTGGGCCTCAATTTCCTCATCTGAAAAGCGATGATAATAAAAGCACCTATCTCACAGAGCTGTTGAAACAATTAAGTGAGTTACTACTTGTAAAGCACTTAGAATAGTGCTTGGTTGCAGTAATGCCTCAAAAATACTAGCTTTTTGTAATTCGTAAATGCCAGTCTAACAAATAAGAAAATATTTCAAGACTATAAAGTAAGAGTGTAGTTAGTTTTAGACGTAAAGCAGAACGTCTATACCTAAACCTGGAAAATAGTTTCCCAAACCTTAACACACTATCACCACCTCTCTGGAAGACGACACAGCAGCCTCTACCCTAATCTGTTTATTGAATCTACCAGTCTCCTACTAAGGCTGGACCAGGGGCAGATGCAATAACAAGTTCTGGTCCTAGAAATTAGAAGAATAAGGTACAGTCTTCATGTTATTCTTCACGATGTTCTCCTTTTCACATCCTGTAGTTTTACATTTCAAATGACACAAATCTATTAGTACCTATTTTGTGTTTCTAGCAGAGTCTAAGAATAGAAAAATTTTACACAGGAAAGAAAAGACCTTGTAATACTTACTCTCATCTAAATCTTACCCTGCATCCCTTTTCTCCATCTGAAAATTTTGCTTTCTCTCTTGTTTGCCACATTCTAATCTCTGGTCGACACTGTCTCTTCTTGATGATAGGATGCAGACAACCTGAGTCATTGTCAGTCTCTGTCCCTTTGCTACATATTAATTTTACTCTTTTCATCCTATTTTTAAAAAAGGAAAAAAAGATTACTAGTTAGTTTTTTGAAAGTAATATCTTTCATGAAGTCACTTTCTTCTGAGGAGTACAATATATTATTCTGGAAATCAAGAAGATTCAGAAATTGTACGTTTCAGGCTTCTAGCTTGCCTAAGGGCGTAGGAAGCCAGTTCTCTCTCTCGTCTCCAAAGACTTGGGTCAGTTAGTTGAGAGGAAGCCTGTTCTTTTCAATTTCGCAAGGAAGTGGGTCCACAGTCTTCCCTCTCAAACGCAATGCCAACCCCGCCCTCACATTGCCTGTTTGTGCCACTTCATAGAATGTCTTCCCCTCTCCTGTGCTTCAAAGCCCAGCAACTCTCAGCTCCTCCCTGACTCCTGCTGACTACTTCACCCCAGAATACTCACTCCTGCTGAATTGCATGGCCTTTAGTCAGCATGATATCATTTATGATATTTTTACATTTTTGTGACTGTATCATACCTGCTACTCTTACCTTCCTAATTAGACGGTAAAATCACTAAGAGGAATGCCCAGTGCCCAGCACAATGAACTCAAACGCTTCAACTAAAGAGTGTCAACTTATCTTTAGAAAAATTTGTGAACATACTTCGTCTTCAAAAACAAAGCTGCAAAAGCACTTTACTTTCGAGTCACAAACATTAACATATGATAAAATAAGGATTTCTTCGAGTCATACTAGCGCTGCTACAACCTACAAAATCATGAAGGAGGTTGAATGTGTCTTGGACTCATTTCCCTTTCTGTCCTACAGCCCATCGACACCAGCCTCCTGTCCTGCACCCCACATCTAAAGAGGAATCAGCTCTCATACTGAAAAATACCTCATCTTTTAAAAATTCCTCATTCTCCAGATGTTGGCCAATATGAGTTAAAATATTTACCCTTCAAGAGTATTTATATTTCCATAATCTTGTGGTCTAAAAAACCATTAAAGATCAAACAGAATGACACTTTTATGGTAGATTACTGGACTAATGGGTAACATGACAGACAGTGGTGCCATTTCAAATAAGCAAATCATTCCAGAACCTTTAAAAATCTCACCACAATGATAATACGCTTACACTGTGTATTCCTAAAACCTAATCAGATTATATACTATGTAAATACTAATGTGAACACAAAATCAAGTAAAAATTCCAATGTAAGACTTCCCACCTGTTGCCAAAGAGAGTCCCCCAAAAACCACCATTAAAGGGTGCAGATTCCAAAGTTTCTGTTCCTCTGGCTTTATCAGAGGAGTTATTTCCATTTTCTCGGCTCCCATCACCATTTACAGTTTTTCGTAATTTTCTACAAAAAAAATATGTCAACAACTTTAGATTATTCAGGACCTTTTCTGTTTCTACTCAGAATATCCCTACTGACTACTACCTGAAATTAAGTATAATGAACTTCACATAATGAGATAAATTATACAGGAACATTTCTGACTTAAGGGCAAAAACAGGTTCCAGAACAAAGTGCTAAGTTACCATTTTGTTCATTCATTAAATAAACAGAAATGCCATTCAAAAACATAACTAGAAGGAAAATTTTCATATGTATGACCAATAGTCTTTTCAGGAACCACAGAAAGAATGAACAATTTCTTTAAATATGGATGCCAGAAATCTACCCATTTGGCACATTTAATCATGGGAACACAAAATAATAGCAAGTGATCAGTTTTTTGATATTCTATGCAGTGAAAAGATATACCCTGTAAATACCAATGAGACACAGCACAATATTTGATTTCCTTAGAAAACATTAAATCAATTAAACTGAATTTTCAAGGAATATTCTTTCCTGGAAAAAAAAAGTTTTGAAAATAACATTCAAAAATAAGTATAAATATATTGAAATTCTTTGCACCAAATGAAAAAATCTTATATAGTAACTCCTTGGGGGAACAAAAATCTACAGATACTCTGAGAAAGATGACTTTTGTAAGATAATACCATGTCTATCTAAGAAACCTTTAACAGTTCCAAACCCCACAAACGGCACATAATCAATAAAGACTAGACATGAATTCAATGTGTAGAAAAGTTAAATCTTTATTAAAAGTTTAGAACACTTAGAAATCCATTCTTTTTACATATTATTGAAAAAAGGTAAAAATTTTAGTAGCACTAACCTAATGTACTAAGATCCTTGTTTATAGTAAATTTTCACCAAATTTTGAGACAATTATGAAGAAGAATGTTTTTCATTAAAATCATTATTTAAGGTAAATTTTGATAAGGAATAATACAGTATAGAAATTTTCCTTTTAAACAACGGTACTGAATGACAAACCCCCATACCCCCTGGATTAAAAGTTCATGACAAGGTTTCTAAGCATCAGGGAGAAAAGTAAAAGTAAAGCATTTGGGTTTTTTTTTAAGCCAAAAAAATAATGAAAAATATATGCAAAAGAGGAAGATTTTGTATTAATTTACTCAAAGATTTTGTTCTTCAATGCCTCTCCCAGAAAATACACAACCAAAAGTGTAATTTCTCATCTCACCTTCTTCTCCGATTTCCATTGTTTCCCGATGGCCTTGTTATCTGAGTAGACACAATTTGACAGTGGACAGTTCCCATGAGTAACATAAGGCACAAGGGTCCAAGTACTTCACTTACATTCACAATAGGCATCATAAAATAGAACACGAGTGCTATAACTGAAAAGAAGAGATTTCAAAGTGGAAAGCATTAGGGCTTATCTTTAAAACCAATTCTAATAACTCTACAGATTATTTCTCTAAAAATCTATCATTTAAAGAAGAATACAAATGAAAGCACATAATTTTCTACAATACAATCCACCTGCACATTAGCTGAGTGAAAACCTGAAGCCCTAGATCACACAGCAAGTGAAGAATGATGTGTCCAAAGGATCTGCCTTTCTGGAAATATGACAATCTAGATATTCTGAAAGACTTTCCAGCACAAAACAACTAGATACTGTATAACCCTCTGCAGTACTGCTCTGCTCAGAGACCCAGTATTCTCCAGGGCCCAGAGTTATATGTAGCAATTAACACAGCTGCGATTTGAACCAAGGCAGCCAGGTTCCAGAATCCTTATTCTTTTTTTTTTTTTTTTTTTTTTGGCCGAGGTGTGGCACGCAGGATCTTAGTTCCCTGACCAGGGATGGAACCCATGACCCTTGCAGTGGAAGCATGGAGCCCTAACCACTGGACTGCCAGGGAAGTCCCAGAGTCCTTACTCTTAAACGCCACGCTACGTTGCCTCTTTGTATGTGAGTATGAAATGTCCAAAGAAAAAAGTAATGAAAGAAACAGAAAGATATCACAAATTATCTCCCAAAACTTCCAGATACAATTTTACAGATTCGTTCTTTCAGACTTTGACATAAAGATAATTCTTGTGCTATACAAACTTTTCTATGCGGAGAAAAATTAATTCCATTCCCTAATACCCTGATGCCCAAACATAACAACAATAGCACCAAAACAATAAACTATAGACCTTGCTGACTTATGAACATGGATATAAATTTACCTCTAAAAAGCAACACCATGAAAGCAGGGATTTCTGTCTATTTTGTTCACTGCTGTACCTAGATCAGTACCTGGCACATAGTAAGCACTCAATATTTGTTGAATGAATGACTGAAATACTATCAAAGTAAATTTGACAATACAGCAAAAGAATAATTCACCAAGATCATATAGGGTTTATGCTAGTAGGATAGTAGGAAATCTTTCTCAGAGCCTAGAAAAGTACCTGGCACAGACATGTTAGGCACTAAAGGAATTGTTGACTGAGACTTAACTGATGTAATTTAATAACTTAATACGATGTAGTTTTGATCGCATGCATATGTATCATCTCAATTGCCAATTGTGTAAAAGGTCTGTGTCCCTGATTCCTGGGAGGTAACCCTAAACCCTTGGAATTTTCCAAATGATGAAGTATCTTTGTTATTCATCGTGGGTCCCTTGGACCACAGAGGATAGTTTATGCCAATAAAATGACTAAGGATAGGAGTAGCCACACCAGAAAGACCAACTATGGAATTAGAGGGCTGGGGCTTTGAGCCACACTGTATCAGCCTGACCTTTGGGGAGGGAATGGGAGCTAAAGACTGAGTTTAACTCCTTGGCCAGTGACTCAATCAAACATGCCTACATAATAAACCCTCAATAAAAACTCTGGATACCAAAGCTTGGGTGAGCTTCTCTGGTTGGCAATACCTTGTGCATACTGCTATCCATCATGGATGGAAGGGTAACACATCCTTGAGGACGACAAAAACTTCCTGATTGAAGACCTCCCAGACTTTGCCCTATGCACCCCTTCTAATTTGTATCCTTCTGCTACAATAAAACTATAACGACAGCACTTTCCTGAGTGCTTTGAGTCATTCTAGTGAATTATTAAGTCTGAGGGAATGAGTGGGGGACTCTCAAAACTGTAGCCAGCTGGTCAGAGTAAGGGTAGCCCTAGGGACTCCCAAAGTAAGGCTGGTGTCTTGGGAAGGGATGTGCCTTTAACCTGTGAAGTCTGGTCCAACTCTAGTAGTGAAAAAGCATTCTATAAAAATAGACATTTGTTCCTGATTTGTAATTAATCTTAAATGCCCATCTTTTCTAAAATACTAGGAATATAAAAATATGTCCTTAACATGCTAAAAAATATAAATAAGTAGTGCTCGCTTTGGCAGCACATATACTAAAGAATATATAAGTAAAATCAACATGCATCATATTAATGAAAACATTCTGAATAGGAACAAAACATTATGATCACTCTTACTGTTATCACTTAACATTGCTCTGAAAATGCTGACTAATTCAATACAAGTAAATGAAATGTATGAAAAAAGAGGAGACCAACTTTTCATTATGCCAACAATATGGTTGTATAGTTAGAAAATCTGAGAGAAGCACTGAAAAACTGTTAGAAATAATGAGAGTTTAAAAAGTGGCTGGTTATAACAATCTTAAGTATAAACTAAAGGCTTTCAAATGTAACAGCAATCACCAGTTAAAACACATAAAACAAACAAAAAAAGCCTCATACCTACAGCAGCAGCAACAAAAATAAAAACATAAAATATTTTTCTTTAATGTGGGAGCCCCCAAGCATCCTCTGATGGATGATACATATAAACAAAATGTGGTATATACATACAGTTGATTATTATTCATCCTCAAACAGGAAGGAAATTCTGACACATGCTACAAATGGATGAATCTTGAAGACATTATGCTAAGTGAAATAAGGACAATTACTGTATGATTCCACTTATATGAGGTACTCAGAGTGGTCAAATTCATAGAGACAGAAAGTAGAAGAGTGGTTGGCTGGGGGTAGGAGTAATTGGAGAGTTATTGATTTATGGGTACAGAGTTTCAGTTTGGAAAAATGAAAAAAGTTCTGGAGATAGATGGTGGTGATGGCTACCTAACAATGTGAATGTACTTAATGTCATTGAACTGTATACTTAAAAATAGTTAAGATGGTAAATTTCATGTATATTTTACCACAATGAAAAAAATATTGAGTTTAACAAGATCTATGCAGGCCTTATAAGAAAAAAAAAATTCCTACAAAGCTTTACAGAAAGATATAACAGAAGACTTGATTAAAAGGAGAGATATATCAGGCTTCCCTGGTGGTGCAGTGGTTAAGAATTCGCCTGCCAATGCAGAGGACACGGGTTCGAGCCCTGGTCCGGGAAGATCCCACATGCTGCAGAGCAACTAAGCCCGTGCACCACAACTACTGAGTCTGCGCTCTAGAGCCCGCAAGCCACAACTACTGAGCCCCCGCGCTATAACTACTGCAGCCCGTGCGCCTAGAGCCCCTGCTCCACAACAAGAGAAGCCACCGCAATGAGAAGCCCGCGTGCCGCAGCGAAGAGTAGCCCCCACTCAACGCAACTAGAGAAAGCCCGTGCGCAGCAAAGACCCAGTGCAGCCAAAAATAAATAAATAAAATTAATTAATTAATTAAAAAGGAAAGATATATCAATTTTCTCCCCATTCCCTCCAAATATATCTATACCTATATTTTGTAGTGGGGAGTGGTAAGAACGGAGTTCCAATCCAAATTCCGTTTTTTTTTTTTTTGGTCTTTGATCATGATAAAATAATTCTAAATTATTTTGCAAAGAATAAGCAAGTAAGAACACCTAAGAGAAAATGTTGAAAAACACAGAATAATAGAGGAATACTTGTCCTGCTCAACGTTACTACTCATTAAATAGCTACAGTAATTAAAGAAATGTGACACAGGTATGAGAATAACCAGACAAACTGATGGTGCAGAATATATAGTCCAGAAATAGACCATGGTGTATACGAAAATTTAATATATATAATTTATCTCAGTAAGAAATTCTTTAATAACAAACATGTGGAAAAATATTTAACTTCACCCTTACAAGTGACCAAAGAAATGCACATTAAACAAGTAAAATACTAATTTTCGTATATCAAATTAGGTAACAATTTTTAAAATTATGATAATGCTAAGATTGTGGTGAAACAGAATCCACTACTTTCCAAAAGAATTGTGTCACCAGCAATTTCACTATATGCACTAAAAGCCTTAAAACGTTTACATTCTTTGATCTGTTAATTCTATTCCAGAGAATAAATTCCAAAGAAATAATACAAAGTATGAAAAATTTTGTTCATGATGGTATTATTAATAAGAAAGAACTAGAAACAACTTAATGCTCATTACATGGGAAGAGTTATGTAAATTATGGTACTTTTATATAATGGACTATAAAGCAGTTATAAAAAGTGTTTATGTTAAATCCTTATGATAGACTCATACAGACATTAAAATGATAGTTTGAAATGATGGTGTGTCCACATGATGTAATATTATGCAGCAACTAAATGACAGTTATGAAAACAATTCAAAAAAACTGACACAGATAAAAGAAAACAAAAATCACCCCAAATCCTTTCACCCTAACCCAACCTTCACCTTTCACCTACTCTTTGTTCTAAGTCATGTCTGTTTGCTCAGGTATAACCATATCTACGCTGCCCTCTTTCAGAAAGTGTTCCTGGTAGGCAATGGAGTATATTAAAGAGCATACACTGGGCCCCTGCACATAGTGAGAAGAGAAAAAACATCAGGTAGTGACGTGTAATACAGAAATTAACACAGACTCCTGTGACAGTGACTGAGGGGTGGTATAACTACTTAGAAAGTATAGACAGGGATGGCCTTTCTGTGAAAGTTACATCTGAGCACAGATCCTAAAGATGACAGAAAAGATAGCCACATGAAAAGCCTTACGATTGTTTCAAACAGAAAGAAAAGCCCTGGGTGAGGAACAGAAAAAGGCCTTATGCCTAGAGTAAGCAAGGAGGAGAGTGGTAAGACATGGCATCCGACAGGTTAGCAGGGGACAGATAATGTAGGGCACTGGAGGCCCTGGTGAGGAGTTTGGGTTTCTATTCCAAGGGCAATGAGAAGTCACTAAAGGGACTTTTTTAAAAAAGCAGGAAAATGACATGATAGGGTTTCCATTTCAAAAGATTTCTCTAATTGCTGTGAAAAGAGTGATGGGCAGAAAGAAAGCTCAGAGTAGATGCTATTCCAGTGATCTAGGTGAAGGGATGGTGGTGCTGTGGACTATGATGGTGGCAGCAGAGACTGGGATAAGTAGCCAGGACATATTCTGGAGGTCAAACTTACAGACTTGGTGACAGATGGAATATGAGGGTTGATGGTAGAGTAGAATAGGAAGACAATTTTTCGCTTGAAAACTGGGTAGCTGATGGCATCATTTAATGAAATGGGATAAAACCTAAAGGGGAATAAGACTGTATAAAAGAAAAGATTGTAAAAAAAAAAATCAGGAGTTCCATTTTGGATATGATTAAGTTCAAGATACCTATGAAATCTCCATATGGAAATGTCAAAAAGGCAGTTGTATTTACAAGCCTGAAGTTCAGCAGAGAAATCTGGCCTGAAAATATAAATTTGAGAATCACCAGTATATCAATTATATTTAAAGGTACAAGGCTTGATGAGAGTACCTAGAGAAGAGAAGAGAATCCCGATCCAACCTAGAGGTAATCCAATATTCAAAGGTCAGACACAGGAAAAGTTTGAAAAGGCCTGGCCAGTGAGACAGGCAGAAAGAAATTCAAGAGAGAGGAGTTAGACAATCATGTTTGCTCTCTCTGAGCAAATAAATTTGAGATGATCTCCAAATGGTGTATGCCCCTTCGTTTCTTTGTACGTGAAACCATCAAATGAAAGGGTAAATGTAAGAACAGTAAGGTCTGCGTGATCTGATAGCAACAGCGGCAAAAAGAAACTGTCATAATTTATCCCAACTCCTCCAATTACCTTGCATGAGGTAAAGCAGTAGCAGCCAAACAAAGATTCTTAAAGAGGTAACCTGAATCCACCAATTGCTGAAAAAGGGAAAAAATACAACTCGAACAAGCCCCTTCCGAGTCAGAGATGTCCAGGGAATTTCAGGTTTGGCTTTGGCAAATGTTGAGCCTTTAAATATACAACAAAACAAAACATCAAACATTTATGTACACTAGACTAATGCCCACTTGTAACACTATATTAAAAACAGGTGAGAGCAAAAATCAGCACATAACCTGTTCAGTGAAAAAGAATCCTCTTCGATGTTCATTATATATACTAACTTCTTGCCTCAATCATTAGGACAGGAGCTCAAAATAAGTCAGGCTTGTTTGAACGGTACACAATGTATTTTTCTTCATTACACAGCAGCAAGTCTCCAAGTTCATCTCTTTCACCCTCATGGAAACCATGTAATTTACATAGCCACACAGTATAAAGCAAAGGGGAAAAAATGCTAAAGCCTGAATGATGCAGGAAGAACACTACTTTGGGAAATTAAAGTATACCATCATATAGAGAAGATATCCAAAAAGAATCTTTAGTACCACTATGAAATAATATAATGATATACCTAAGAAACAAGCCAACTTTAGAACTCACCTCTGATTAAGTCAACATCAATCAAGTCTGCCTTTATATGACCCATCTTTTTTGGTTTGTTTTTGAAGCCCTAGAATAAAACAAAACAAAAACCAGAAATAAACAGCATTTTAAAAGCCCTTTTAAAACAAAAGGTAAATTTACGTTTCTTTTTCTCTACACCTGACTCCCTTTTACTGAGTACACTTTAATCCTAATGCTCCTTAAAGGAACCTGTCATTAATATTTGTTTTAGTTTTTAGTTTTATCAAGTAATGCATGCACATACTTTTATCACCTTTAAAAATAATCAAACAGTACCAAAAGGTCAGTAAGTGAAAAACAGGTAGTCCCCTGACCCACCTTACCTCTCCTCCCAATTTCATTCATTAAAAACAAATGCTTTCATCTTTTTTTAGCTGTTTCTCTTGGTATTTACTTACATAGGTCTAAATAATATGTTCATACTGCTATTTTTCAATTTATTGATTTTAAAAATCACCTATGGGGCTTCCCTGGTGGCACAGTGGTTGAGAATCTGCCTGCTAATGCAGGGGACACGGGTTCGAGCCCTAGTCTGGGAGGATCCCACATGCTACGAGCAACTAGGCCCGTGAGCCACAGCTACTGAGCCTGCGCGTCTGGAGCCTGTGCTCCGCAACAAGAGAGGCTGCGACAGTGAGAGGACCGCGCACCGCAATGAAGAGGGGCCCCCGCTCGCCGCAACTAGAGAAAGCCCTCGCACAGACATGAAGACTCAACACGGCAAAAACAAATTAATTAATAAACTCCTACCCCCAACATCTTCTTTAAAAAAAAAAAAAAAAAAATCACCTATGAACTCCTAATATAGTATATGAGAATTTAGCTTTCTTACACTACTAATTCTCACCTCCTCACTTCCACCCCAAAAACATATATCCTCACAATATAGTCAATTAATTTGTGACAATAATAATATAATAATCATCAGTAGAGTATGATCACTATGAAATATCATTCCTTGTTCACTCTATTTATATGCTTCCTTTTATTCTATGAGGTCAGTGAAAATATTTATCAGTTTCCAAATACTCAAATGCCAGAAAATTAATCAAAGTCCTTTTTTTCCTTAAAGAAAAAAAATTCCTGGAAACCCCCTTCCCAGGACCCTCTTTCTATCTTGCTGCTGGAATTGGACTAGTTGCTCTCTGGGCCTGTTGCATGGCTGTAATCCCAGAACTGCTCACTCTCATCCTGACAATCCCCTTCCCCCCTCTCTGTGGTAAGTCCTTATTTGCTGTATCCATATCTTCTGGGAGCACATTCCTTCCGTAGTTTCCTGAGAAAGGGGTCACAGAAGACAGTGTTTTCAATCCTTGCATGTCTGGAAATGATTTCATTCTACCCTTATACTTGATTAAAAGTTACCCTAGATGCAGAATTCTAAGTTGTTAATAATTTTCCCTCAGGAATTGAGACACTGTTCCATGGTTTTCTAGCTTCCAATGTAGCTGTTGCAAACTCCAATGCCATTCTGAGTCCCGATCCTTTGAATGTGAATTGTTTCCTTCCTCTTAATCCTCACTTTATTCATGGTGTTCAGAATGATGTGCCTTTTTTTTTGACAGAAGTGACATTTATGATAAAACATGTATTTTGTTTTATCACATAATTATATGCCTTGATTATGAGTCTTTTATCATCTATTGTGCTGAGAATCCCTTCCATATAGAAATACATGTCTTTCAGTTTTAGGAAAGTTTTCTTATAATTTATATTTAAATTTCTTCCCTTTTAAGACTTTTGACTTTTCTCTCCTATTTTCTACCTCTTTTGTCTTTCTGTTCTGCTTTCTAGAAATTTCTTCAAATTCTTCTATTACATTTTTCATTTTGATTCTTTGGGTTCATTCCTTTCTCTTCTCTTTCATCCTGGAAGATTTCTTCAAATATCTAGTAATCATTGGCTGTCCACTTATATATTAGAATGAGGAGTTAAAACCTGATGGACATTTTATTTCAAGGTCTATACCCAAGAGAAAGATATATAAATTTCACTAAATAATGTGTACAAAATGTTCCTAGAGGAATTATTTATAAAAGCCCCAAATTGGAAACTACCCATCAACAGCAATCAGAAATTGCCCAGCAGTAGAATGGATAATAATTGTGGTGCTATAGTGAATAAACTGCAATTATGCAACAACATGACTGGATCTCACATACATAATATTGAACAAAAGAAACGTAACACTGAACAAAAGAAATTAGACTCAAAAGTGTATGTATTGTATAATTTCATTTATGTAAGCCTCAAAATAGGCAAAACTTAACCTATGGTGCTGCTATAGTAGTAAGGATACAGGTTACCTCTGTTGGTAGCGGTGACTGGAAGAGCATGTGATGGGGAGCTTCTGTGTTACTCCTAATGTTCTAGTTCTTGATCTGAGTGTTTATCACATGGTTATGTTCAGTTTGTGAAAATTCCTCAAGCTGTACTCTTATAATTCTGGGGTGGGTGGGTGTGTGTGAGTAGAAGTCCCCCACTTTTCAAAAGTTTGCTTTACACTATTTCGCTTTTACAAAAGACCTACATTAGTATCTGTCTTCACTAACCGAAAAAAATCCAAAGAGGATTTTTACTTTTCCAAACAAAGATGAAGAGCATAAACAGCGTTCAGTGATCTCAGGGAGCTCTTACAGAGGCAGCACACACCCGAGCAGGGAGAGCAGCACCACCAGGCTCCTTCCCCAGGAACACACTCAGCATCTCAGCATCAAGCCCCCATAGCTTTGAAAGGTGTCTGTGAGCATCTGTGCTGCATTTCGACGTATTTTGTGCATGTGTTAGCAAGATGTGTCCTATGGTAATTGCTTCTTCACAATTGCCACTTCGGCTTACGAAAAGTTTCACAGGAACACTCTACTTTTGGATAATGGGGGAAACCTGGTAACTCATATTCACTGAATATGTTTTATTTTATTAACACATAGACAATGGTTTTACAGGAAAAACTCGGGATTTGAAAGTCATGATAACCTTGCTGTATATTATGACTCAAAAGCAAATTTGTGAATTATCTTTTGTGTTTAAAAATCCTGGTTTGCCTAACAGTTTTGTTTCATTACGATTAATAAGTATAACTGTTTTAAAAGATGAATTTTAATTTCGTGCTCAATCAACACTTGTACATGCTAGTTCCTGATCAAGTTTTTAAAATTAGATATTTAACCATTAAAATTATTGTAAAAATTAAACGTTAGAGTAATTTGCTATTTCTCTAGTCTAGATATTGAGCCAATATTGATCTTTGGTTCTGTTTAACTAAAAGATGCAGCCAAACAATTTCTTTAAAGTGAACCCTATGTTTCTATCCAATTAACTACAAACTGTAGATTTTAACAAAAACAAAAAAAAAGTTTTAAAACTCTAAATGTAATAAAATTAAATCTAAGAAGGAATCAAATTTTGATAATTAGACATTTCAGGGGCAAAAATAACCCTTTGGAAAAAATATGTGCACTAATTTTTGAAATATGCATAATATTCATGGAAATAACAATGATCTTGTACTACATTTGAAATCAGAAATGAAAATTTTAAAAGTAAAGATATCACTGTATTATATTCTAACAGGCATAGGCCTTGTGGACATTTGCAGCAGTACTATTCTAACTAAAGAAGCTTAAAGTGCCTTAACTTTAAAGTCACATTAACTTTTCTACTTTCTTTGCTTTCTAGACTTTTCACCTACAATGTTATAGAATCAGAATTAGCATTATCTAAAGGTAAACACCAAATTAGGAAAATCTCCCTCAGCAATAGAAACACATTCATTCATTCACTTAGTCAACAAATATGCAATACGTTTCTTCCGTATGCCAGATAAGCTACTTGAGCTAAGCACAGAGCAATAAGGAAGTCAAAGCATGGCTCTATCTTCAGAGTGTGCACGCACAGAAGGGAAAACAGACAATAAAGCCAAATGTTTGAGGGTTCCTCAGGAAAACACCCCCTGAACTTCCCTCACCATTTTTTGGACAAAAATCATTAAGAAATTTATGACCACCGTTCTTGAGCCAGATAAGAGAGTCGCTAGATACTTTTATATGTGTCTGTGCTGAGGAAGAATAAAAAACACATGCCATGCTTTTATTTTAGGATCCTTCTGCTTGATCCTACATATTCTACAGTATGTATAGTAAGAGGCAAAATGTGCACAGCACTACTCTAAGCACTTTACATAAACTTATATTAATTTGTTTAACTCATTTAGTCCTCACAGCTGTCCTGTGAGACAGGCACCTTTATTATCTTCACTTTACAGATGAGGAAAACAAGGCACAGAGACTCTAACTCGTTCATTCTCACTACAAACCACTACACATCCTGTCTCTCACTATACAGTACAAAATGCATTCCTAATCAATGTACGGAGAGATTTTGAGATAAACAAGATTGCATGCCTCCGAAAGGTTCCATGGGATTAATAAACCCTGGGAGCTGTGAGTGAATTTCCTTATTGGCCACAACCCAGGGCCACAACCTAGCAGCCCACAATAAAACTGTAGGAGAAAAGTGGGATACCCTGCACTAGCTGCTAGAGCAGTGGTCTGGACATTTTCTGCAGAGCCCAGCTACTGGCTGTATTCAGCCCTCTCTATTGTTTGCTCCCCACAGAGCTGTGTAATATCTTCAAAGCTCAGAACCACCTGACTGATGTAGTTCCTACTTTTAGGTAGAGGGACTAAAGCACTGGAAATACTGCTGCAGTATTGTTGGACTCCATGTTTAAAAGGGAATAAAAGACAAGGGAAACCCTGTAACACATCTCTCTCTCTTAGTGTGCTGAAATGTCCATTTTAATGCCACTGATTCTATACTACTGTATAGTAGTTGGGCACAAAGAGAGAAGTCACCTGATTTAGAGCAGATGACGAACAACAAAACAATTACAAGGCAAGTACAGCACTATAGGAATATGTGTAAAGGACACCTAACTCAGATTTAAGAAGTCAAAGAAAGATTTCCAAAGGAAAATAATACCTGATCCGAGACCTGAAGGGTGTATAAGAATTTGCAAAGAAGGACATGGGCTGTAGCAAAAGG